CAGCTCTCAAAACAAAATAATCTCTCTTGGTTACTAACTGCTCCAAAGGATTGCTCTAAACCTCACAGTGATTACCCTGTAGAAATTTCTGCTCACTCATAATTATGGAGATATGAGTCTATTTATGCTTGAGAGATCATGCTAAATCCCCTAATAGGCCAAGCCTATTGGCCCATAGGCCGATGAAAGGTGATAACTAATCATATCTCGCCATACAACATCTTCTGAATAGTCTTCCATGTCATACAACCCATGAGCATCAACAACACACATGATGGAACACCTTGTGTCATAGTGGAGCATCATGATGTACAAGTGGTCCATCATGAACATTGATGGTCCAACATCCATCATGCTTTCACAACATGGTGTAATCCTTAAGCAATTCAAAGGTCTAAGCATCCTTGAACGATCTTGAGCATGACATAGGACTTCATAGCATACTTGGTACATCAGGGATACAATGGCTCATCAAGGAACCAAAATGTACCATCTTGCACCACGATGGTGCAACATGTGCAAGGACGACACAACAAGAATGAAGTATGGCACAAGAACTCCTAGTTTGGAGCAACATCACCATCTAGGAACAACAACAAGTCAACAACATGCATGGCACAATAACATTCTCCATGGCGCAACATCATCCTTATTAGTCCAAGTCTTTAGTAGATGGCATAACAAGGTCCTCTTGTTGCTCCATATCACTCCTAAGTGCACCAAACCTCTTCTAGGTGCTCTAAAACCCATTCAGTGTGATCCGTTCCTTTGGAACTTGATCCGTTCCTTTGTCAGACAACCCATTCCCCTTCTCAAATGGTCCATTCCTTTGTCACATGCTCCATGAACCACAAGTGATCCATTAAGTTCTAAGTGCTCCAAATGAACTCAAAATGCTTCATCCAAGTGATCTACTTGATTCTAAGTGCTCCATGTTGGAAAAGACTTCATACCTCAACAATCTCCAACTTGAAGGCTTGAACAACTTCACCTGCCTACAATGTCTTCATCATTTTCTTAATCTCTCTCCCTCTCTACGCCAACCTGTCCTCAAAATCATGGAAAGGTAGCTGAAGTTGTGCTTGGCATCAACTTTTTAGTGGTAAAAACCATAGTACATTCATCTGTTGAGTTCTCCATACTAAGGACTTTCTTGCTCTTAGTAGCCCCTTGGTTCATTTTCTTTAAATCTCTGCTCAGCCGCATGCTAAGCTTATTGATCTTCTATGTATTGGAACAAACAATCAACACAACATCTACATTTAATATGAGGATGATGTATGAGGAGCTTAACTTGTTCAAGTAAAAACTATGATCAACCTCACGTCTTCTAAACCCTCTCCTCCTCATGAAGTTATCAAACTTTAAGTGAAACTTCTTAGAAGTTTGCTTCATCCCATACATGTTTTCTTTCTTCTTGAACACTAGCTTTTTCTTACCAACTGTAAGAGCACTTTTTAGTTATGCCTTCAAGATGACTCCTTCCAAGTTTTCATAAAGGATATCAGTTGTATTCACACCTACATGCTCTAAATGGAGATTATCAGAGGCCACTACATTTAACATAGAAGTAATTCTAGTCATCTTTGCAACTAGAGAATCGCCCTCCCCCTTCTGTTGTATTCCGCTGATCGCCAATCTTCCATTGTAAGTTTTACTACACCTATCTAATCCTTAACTAGAAACATCTTACTCTTCTGCAGTCTGCTCAACTTGTCATCCATATCCTTCTCCTATTGTATGGATTTCATCCTCAAAGCGTCTAGTTTTGATCCGTTCTTGCTCATCATTGTGTCATTGGTTGATAGAGAATACCTTACTAGAGTACTTTTCTTCGTGGTCCACTGGATAATATGTGGTTTGATCTTTGAAACACCTACAACTCCACCTTTAAAACCATTATCACCAAAGATCCCATTATTTCTAGGTTTATCAGAGCTCCTACTACTTCCTGAACATCTGCATATCCTTTTATTAGAGATAGGTTTTACGTGATTTTGGGATCCTCCCACTAAGGAATCTGAAGTTGGACTGTGATCACTAGAATAAACTGAACCCGAGTTCCCAAACATAGGTGGAATTTCTATCTTCACAAAACTGAATTTCTGTTATCTTCCAATAGAACATGGACTAGAAGAATCTTTCATATTCTTCAACGACATGTGCCTTATCATTAGAAACTTCCACTTGTGATCACCAAATGTAACATGATGACATTCATTATCAAGTTGTCCAAGTGATATAAACATCCTACTTAGATTAGGAATGAACTTGAGATTCTTCAAATTCCAATTCGTTCCCAGATTCATCTTAAGAACCAAATATGCGACACCCATGATATCCAGAAACTTCTCATCAGCCAGCCCGAACTTCCCTTGGTAATGCCTAAAGTTATGCATTACATCTTTGGAATGAATAACGTGAAATGACACACCTGAATCCAAGACCAAAGATTCTATTGAATTTTCAACTAAACAAATGAGCGTGTCACCTTCAACATCTTATGTTATATTCATTTTTATGGCCTTTATATGCCTCTAGCATTGGGCAATGAGTTTTGACATGACCACTCTCTTTGCAGTTCCAACATGTTAAGTCCCTCAAATTGTTTTGTCTGCCTCTCCTTCTCGACTTCGATCTTCCAATACCCCCACATCCTCCATTGGACCCCCTTTCTATATCTTCAGTACTCAAACAACTATTGGAAGCTTCTCCAACACTCTTTCTGCATACATCCTCACCAAGGATTAAATCGTGAATGCCTTCGAATGTCAGCTTAGCACCCCCATGTGAGCTGCTAACTTATTTCACTATGTCAGACCATCTATCAGACAAATATGATAATAGTAGCAATGCCATGACTTCATCTTCAAATTTAATATAAATCGAGATCAACCTTGATAGGATTGAATTAAATTCATTATCATGATTAGTCACTGAGCCACCCTCCTTCATCTTTAGATTTAACAGATGTTGAATCAAATGAACCTTGTTCGATGCTGAATGTTTTTCATACATGTTAGATAGTGCCTTGATCAACTTATGAGTAGTCTTCACATTGACAATGTTGTACACAATGTTTTTTGCCAAGGATAATCTCACCACACCAAGTGCCTTTCGATCTAACGATTCCTAATCCTTTAACTTCATTTCCTCAGGTTTACTTTGGGACAATGGTACGTGTAAGTTTTTCTGGTAGAGGAAGTCTTCAATATGACTTTTCCAAAAACTGAAATTGTGCCTATTCAATTTTGGAATCTTAACTTTCCTATCTTGTGGCATAGCTCTGATAGCAGTTTATTGGGTGACCATAAAACAAGTTAATCACTTCAAGCAAATATCAAAACAAACTTCGATGAAATTGCAGAAATAACACTTCGGAAAATGTAAATCAAGTGAACACAATATATAACGTGGCTCGGTCAAGTTGACATACATCCACAGACTAAAGACATGGATATATATATATATATATATATATATATATATAGAGAGAGAGAGAGAGAGAGAGACAAAGAGAGAGAGATGATTTTATTAACTTCCATGAAAAAAATACAATCACACACAAAGGTTACACCTCACTTGAGCTCTCAAAACAAAAAAAATCTCTCTTTCTTACTAACTACTCCGAAGGATTGCTCTCAACCTCATACTGATTACTCTCTTGAAATTTCTGTATACTCATAATGATGGAGATATGAGTCTATTTATACTTGAGGGATCATACCTGAAACCCTAATGGGTCGTGCCCATTGGTCCATAGGCCCATGAAATGTGATAACCAATCATATCTCGCTATACAACTTCTTTTAGAATATTCTTCCATGTCATACAACACATGAGCATCAGTAACACACATGATGGATCACCTTGTGCCATAGTGGAGCGTCATGATATACAAGTGGCACATCATGAAAACTAATGGTCCAACATCCATCATGGTGGCACAACATTCTTTAATACTTGACCAATAGCAGCTTCTGAGCATCCTTGAATGATCTTGAGCATCATAGAGTACATCATAGCATACTCGGCACATCAGGGATACCATGGATCATCAAGGAACCAAAATGGCCCATCTTGCACCATGATGGCACACCATGTGCAAGGATATCACAACATGAATCAAGTATGACGCAAGAACTTCTAGGTTGGAGCAACATCACCTACTAGGCACAACAACAAGTCTACAACATGCATGGTGCAACAAGGCAATGCTTGGTGCAATAACATACTTCGTGGTATAGCAACATCCTTCTTGGCCCAAGTCTTAAGCAGATGGCACAACACGGTCCCCTTGTTGGTCTATATCACTCGTAAGTGCTCCAAATCTCTTCCAGGTGCTCTAAATCCTAGTCTATATGACATGTTCATTTGGCCCGTGAACCATTCCTTTGTCAGATGATCCATTACCTTCTTAGATGATACAATCCTTTGTCACATGCTCCATGAAACTCAAGTGCTCCATTAAATTCTAAGTGTTTCAAATGAAATCAATATTCTTCATCCAAGTGATCCACTTGATTCTATGTAATCCATGTTGAACAAGACTTCATACCTCAATACTTCGATCAACTGGTTAAGTGTGTAACTGGGAACAAGAAGCCAACATATGTTCCTTATCCTTGTTGGCTTGCAATAATGTTAGCTTGTAATGGAGAGGGTTACAATGTCAAACATGGGTTCTCTATTCCAACTCCAATTCTTTCATTGAAGAGTATCAATGTTGGTCCCTTTGATGGAGATATGCATCTTACCCCAAGTATGGAGAATTAGGCTGCAAATCCTTATGTTGTTGAAACCTCTGAATATGAAAAATAGGATGATGAGGAAAACTATAAAGATGATGCTAATAATGCTAATGATGAAGAAGACGCTGATGATGAAGAAGATGAATTAGACACTAATATGGGAGAAGCCTTTGTTTAGGGAATGATAAATTCTCTTCCAAGATTGAACCAACTGATTCTCGTTCATAAACAATTCCTTCTACGGAAGATATGGTATTACACGGATCATTTCCATCTCAAGTAGAAAGTACTGATCAACTGATTCAAGATGTGAATTCTCCATGATCATCATCTCCTTCTCGTCAAGCTGCAACTGTTCCCCCATTGCCAATTCCTATACGAAATTCTGCTACTTTTCAAGAGGAGTCTAGTTCCAACTTTCAAACAATTGTGCTCTCTCAACTCTCCCTATTGGTTAATATGACTCAATATGTTGGAGAAAGACTGAACAAAGTATAGAATGCTATGGATGAAATCAAACACTTAATATCTCTGGTGGAAGATGATCATGTGACGATTTAAGACACTCAATCCTACTGCCTCTTCAAGTGAGGATCAACCTCCTCCACCACTACTGAGGAATAATCCACCCCCATCAACATTTAAAAATAATCAACCACCTCCACCTATACCTAGAAATAACCCTCCTCCACCTCTAATAAATCATTCTCCTCACACTCCGTCTTCACCTCATGACACCCTGCTCCAAACTGATGATGCCAAAAAAGTGGAGAATAATCAAGAACATGTAATGATGACTACAACTTCATCACAGGTTGATCAGTCTGCATCAAGAAGGGAGGATAATCAAGGAAAAATGGTTGTTTTTTTTACTCTAAAGCAATGAATGATGACCCACCCTTTCCAGATGATGATTAGTCTGAGACTGATGATTATGAAGGATTTGTTGACTTCGATTTTATGGAAGAAATTGTTGTCCCTCTAAGTTTTCTTTACGCTAATGCATATTCTGAGGGAAGATTTCACAAGGAAGTAACACTGATATCGAGTCTGATGACGATCAGCTCAATTTTAGAAAAAGAAAGGCTTTCTTCTCTGGTGGAGAAAATGATGGTGAAGCTTGAAGTTCGTCAGCTGCTAGTTGTTCTTTTGTACCTCCTCCCAAGAAATTCAAGGTAACAGTTGATTTGGAAGATTTAGCTGAAGACTGGAAAATGGTCGTTGAGGAGGTTAGATAAATTATGTTAGAACATAATCATTCGGTTTGAACAAGAAGAGAAGAACGTAGATTACTCAAACTTTCTCAGACCATTGCATCAGCTGATGCTCAAGAGACCAGTATTCAAGACTTCAATATTGATGTGGCCAAATGAAATAGTCTCTGAGATAAATTATTGAATCGACCAGAAGAAATTTGGAAATTTTCAAGGTCAAAGATATCAACCTAATCCCATCATCAAAGTCAAATGCCTCAAACCCAAGAATAAATCACTCAAGATTCATTTGGTTATGAAGAAGGCCGAGTATGAATACATCGAAGTAATATTTGCTCATTAGTTTATTAAATATGGCTACAGTGAGTGCCTTCAACCAGTCCATCTCATCCATCTACCTCAAAAAGAACTAGGAAGCCTAGAATGTCCAAATATACAAAATTTCTTCTTCCATATGGAACTCCTTGCATTTTGGTGTTAGCTGCAAGTGCGTGTTAATCTAGTTCAATACATGTGCATTGGGAAACTCAGTAGGCGTCTACCTAATCTTCGTCTTGATGAATTTAAGTGGTTAAAGATTGAGATTCTGAAAAAAGCTAAAACATTCTAAAATGATGACTATGATGATTCCCTTGAAGATTAGTTTTAACATCATCAGATAAGGGGAGATTGTAGGGTCATACCTTATGATCTAATGAGTCAAAGACTACACGCTGACCACCAATGCCAACGCCAGCTCCAATTTCAATATGATCAGCGTCAACATGAGCTTAATGATCTTGGAGATTATTTGTATATTAAGAAGTTATGCATTGTATATATAGAGTAGATGTATGATCCATAATCTTAGTGATTAAGATCAGACCTTTACGTAGATTAGTATACAGCCCCTTAATTGTAACATTTGAATTTTGAGGTACTTTGTAACAATTTTCTTTTATATTTATGGTTTCCACGACATGGTGAAGGACCGCCACAAAGTGGAAAGTCATGATTAAAATATGGTTTTCATTTAGCCGCTACAACATGAAAGCATGTGGCCATATCGTGATGGCAAAACCCTTATTTTTTGGGTTGCTCCTTATTTAAACTAATGAGGAGACTAGTGTTAGCTCATCCTCAACCTCCATCGGCCTCATCAAGCCTTAAAGAAACACTAATCTCTTCCCTCCATTGTTGAAGTTTTTCTGGTGCTCATGGAAGCTTTTGAAGGAAGTAGGAGGAATTATTAAGCTAGGATTCAATAAACAATTTCCATTCTTTACCTTTACACTCTTTCTGGACCTTTGTAAGTGTCATAAACTTGAATTTTATCATGGTAGGATGCTAGATCTTGATTTTTGTCCAATAATCTTTTTGTTCTTGTTAGTTAGAATGGTGGAATCTCATAAAGTTTACAAATTTATGAATCTCTTGGACATTTGGTGTAGTTTGTGGAATAGATTTGAAGTTTGGTTGTATTTTGAAGTTATGTATGAGATTCAGGTCATAAACTCTCATTTTGACTTAATATGCATTCAAGAAATGCATTGGAAACGCATGTCTATCAAGCACTAACTTTCATGTTGATTTTGGTGTTAGAAACACTTCTGGAAGAGATGGACTTCAGACTTAAAGGAATAAGTGATTAACGGTTAAGTTCATGCCTTCGAGAATATAGGGAATGAGTTTTGGACCTTATTAAATGGTCCTAAGGGGTTAAGTTAGAAACTTTACACTACTAGATCATTCTGAGATTTGAAGCTCATGAGGGTGAAGAAAATAGCTTAATCAATTAAGTTGTTTGGAACCCAGATCCCACGACATGGTATTAGGTCAGCATGCCATGGTGACTGGTGTCCGATCGTATGTTTTTTCCTTCAGGGAATACGATGTGGCCAAGTAAAGCCACAAATTGGTGAGTCAATGTTAACTATTGACATTGACTTTTGACTTGCGTTGACTTTTGGTTAAACACCTAGTCTTGGAGGTGAAGCTATAGGTGTACTTTATATGGCTGTATAAGTAGTTGGTAGAATATGTGTTCGGATTAGTAGTAGCAGTTACAGTGATCATCATTTGATAGGTGAGTTCATTTACTATACTTGTGGGTTAAAGGCAACAATGTTGGCCAACTGGATTACGTTTGTGGTATGATAGTTATCTGTGTGACACTTAGTGTTATGTCTGTATGTGTGTGTTTTCTTTGTGACTCTTGTTGATGTGATTTCGTGCTTAATGTAGGTGGTGAAACAGACTCAATATAGGTTGAAAGAGACTGAGGGGGTGAAATAGACCTAGTATTGGTTGAAAAAGACTAAAGGAGGTGAAATAGACCTAGTACTGGTTGAAAGAGACCAAAAGGAATGAAATAGATCCAATTATGTTTTGACTGTTACATATGTTTTGGTATTGGGTATTTTAGGGAAACACATTAAGCTCTGTGCTTACAGTTTTCTGTTTATGGTTTTAGGTACTTCCAGTTCGAAATGGTAGGTCCCAACATTAACACACTGTATACACCAATATTCTGCATTTTATGACTTGATTTATACTCTGATAACTAATTTATAAATTATCATGTTTTGAGGGGTTTTTGAAATGAAAGAATGAAGCTTCTGTTGGTTTAAAAAATGAAAATTTTACTTAGAAAATTTTGGGACGTTACAAGTTAGTACCTAAGCCTTAGCTTGAGGTATTTGGGCATACTTATGGGTGTGTTTGAACTCAAGCTGAGGAATTGATAATATTTTTGAAAGAAAAAGATTTTTCCAAATAAGATTTTCTAAAGAAAAGGGGTGCGATGCATGCAATTAGCTAAGCTCAAGTAAGTAGTCCCAAAATACCCATAAGTGTTATTGTTTCAGTATATGTATATGTGTAACATGCTAGACTAGGGCAAAGGATTTGCTTAGAATTGCATGGTAGGATGCTAGGATATATGCCAGTTGTATGAACCTATAGAACTGCATTCTAGTATGGATTTTAGATGATTAGATGGAATAGCCTGGTTAGGTAGTGCTATGGCTTAGAACTTAATGCTCGAATGTTGCTTGCTTTGTGCTTATACAAACTCCATTGGTGTTGATTGATTATTAAGCGAATACTTTAAATCATATGTTGTGGGGTTTAGTTAATTATCGAATGTTAGGTTCAACTCTATTACACATCTCTTGTCTAAGTCGAACCATTGTAGAGTGGGACCTAGTATCGTAAAGTATCTAGTGTTGATAACATGTAATTGTATTCATGAGATAGTTAGAAGGCATTGGACGTGAGTCTTTTATGTAGCTGATAGAAGAGAGTGGTGTTGGAAGGAACCATAGGAAAAATTAGGAAATGTCTTAGAATGTAAGGTGCTCTATAATGTGATTTATAGGGAAGTGACTTAGAAGATTTAAGACCGGCCTTGAGGAAAGTATATATAGGTGCAGAAGGTAGTAGTGGGTTCGTACTAATAAAAGCATAAGATGTATACCCAAGACAAAGAATGCCTCAATGAATTTGAGAAACTTCAGGAGTGTGAATATCTTCGTATGTATACTGATTGTTTATGTATTATGTTTCAAAATGGTGATGATACATGGTGGAGCAGGAGGTTCAGGATCTAAATCCAGTTTGGGTTCGGGCACCAAACCAATTAACGAGGTATTATACAAGTTCATCATGTCTGAGGTTACGAGAGGAATTCTTGATGCAACCTTGATAATGTTCTGGTCGATCAAGGAGGGTATCATATAATTGATGAAGGACCATCTACAAATCTTTAGGGTTGATCTAGCTATTGGACACTACGCAACCCACACTCAATCCTTTAAGGATTCCAGGGGATATAAGGCACCATAGCTCTTTAGGGAGAAGGAATACAATGGATAGAAAACATGGAGTATGCTCATATAACTAGCTTATATCCCAAGGGGTCGAACATGAGGTTCGTTGTAGGATGTCTCAGGAGCAAGCTTGAGATTGGTGGGAGGATATTGGTTATGATCTGGGAACCCTAGCTGTTGAGGCCATGACCTGGTCGGATTTTGTGAACAAGTTTCCAGTGGAGTTTGCACCAGCTGTTGAGGTGCAAAAGCTGGCGAGGGAGTTCTTGGATATACGGCAGAAGAATGAGACTGTATCGAAGATCATTGCCAAGTTCCAAGAGATAGCTTTATTAGAACCCCAGTATCCTGTAGACAAGGAGATGAGGAAAGCTCGATTACCACGACATGCTAAGATAAGATCTCAAGGAGTTTGTTAGCTTTTTAGCCTGTTTGACATTAGATGAGATGATATCTAGGGCCCGGGAATAGGAAATTGATTTGGATCCCATTGGGACGAGGAATGGAGAGTAGGTGTATACGAATGGGGTTTCAACAATGAAACCTAAGAGTTTTGATTCTTGATTGAAGGTCCAATAGGGTCGGGGTCACTGTGGCAAGTGCATAAAGATGCATGACAGAGCTTGCAGGACAGCTGGTTCAGGTTGTTATAAGTGCGGAAAGACGGGGCAGTTCGGTAGGGATTGCACTGCCACCACTACCACCCATGCTTCAGGTCTGATTTGCTTTCATTGAAATCATAAGGGCCACAAGAAGGCTGATTACCCGTGTTTGACTGGAGGAATGGCTGCGATACCCAATCCGGTGATGCTGATGATCAATGATGGTCTGGGGGTCAAGCAGGCAGCCCATGTAGTGAAGAACATATCTTTTTATTTGATGGCCAAGGCGATGTGTGCGACTCCTGATGTGGTTACAACTATGTTTTTTCATTTATTTATGAGCTTTTATTGTTTTTTATGCTTATGTTTCAGGTTTTAATGTTTAGGGACGTTATTAGTGAACAGATTTCTAGCTCTGGTTCTTTATGTTTTAGGTGCTACCCCATTGTTTGTATCTCTTGCATTAAACAAGAGATTTGATTATTATCATAGGGAGTTGGATTATTTGTTAGAGATAGAGATCATAGATGACTGTTCAGTGAGAGTATCGAGTGTCCATTAGGGTTGTACTCTTGTGATATTCCAAGAGAGGTACCCGATTTATTTGGTTACCATCCCTACGCACGAGATCAAGGCCATTGTAGGGATGGATTGTTTGAGCCCTAATGGGGGAAATGATTGATTATTGGCATCAATGTGTGTAGTTTCAAACCCCAAGTGGTGGAGAACCAGTTATTCATGGCGAGGT